CAATTATCAAGCCCGCATCCGACGCGGACAAGCAAACTGTGGCAATTAATGAACCATCACAACGCTAATTAAAACCTCAAGCGGTGGCTACGGGAACTGACAATTTTAGTACGCATGCGGACGACCGTCACGAACTATAAATACCATGCAGCCTGTGCATGTATCACCCTTATCTGCGCATGCCTCCGACTTTCCTACGATTATTTATGATTAAGGACTCTCAACAGAATCTGAAACGTCAGGAAAATAAAACTCTTGTTCCAGTGATTGCATCTTCTTTTTCTGGACTGCTTCCTGGAACTCGCATATTCTCCTCTATTGGCAAAAGTTGGCTTGTTTTCTACGACTCCTGCCATCTCCCGAAAAATATATTTTCATCCACGTTTGGAATACTTGGCTCTACCATAACCGACACACACAATACTAAGGCGGCGGTTCTATGCATGAGGACGTAGAAGACACCAGCGGATAACGCGTACAGATGGCAGGCCGTGCCAACAAAGCGCGGCCTGCGCCGTGTCGGCGTACGTGTCTCGCTGCAATGGGAATGGGGCGTGAAGGGCGAAGGGTGTGTCTCGCGTGAGCGCCGGTCGCCGTCGGGTTGGTGGATAATGGCAGAATTTATGGGCGTCTGTGATTGGCTATCCTCGAGGCTGTGTGCGCAACCGCCACAACGACGCAAGGCCTATGCGTGCTTGAGGCTTTATAAAGTGAAAAGCTTAGTGAAGTCTGGTTAGACAAACTGTGGGCCAGAAACTGGACTCCCAAGTGGACTGGGCTAAGTCAGTGAAACTTAAGGATTGGGCTGAAGTACAGCCGCCCTCTCGTCCAGAGTAACACTAGATCGCACTGCGTCCAGTGAACATAGCAAATCTCAGAAACTCCCCAACTTCACAATGTCTGAGAGAACGGTATCAGCATAAACAGCCCTCATTAATAAGAGCGAGTGTACGAGAAACAGAGGCTTTATCTTGAAGGTATTATGCAACATTGCGAGCAAAATGGTCCCATTCATTGTGACTAGTATATAAATTAACAAATGATGCAAGTGTAAATAAGCTTGCGTAAAAAAGAACATCTTTTACAGGGACAGGCAGAGTTTCCATTTATGGACTTCAATCTTTTTGCATTTAAGGTATCATGCCACAAATAGCAATACGGAACGCGCCCGCACCACACAACAGGTCACGTGAGGACACGTCTGGAGCTGCTGCACACAGCCTCAGGGACAGCCAATGATAGGCGCGCACCAACTGCTATTATCCAATCAATTAGGCCTTCCAGTCAGATACTAAGCAACCGCTCAGCTAAAATTGATCCATTTATGGACTTATATACTTCTGAATTCACTATTTAGATTGGAAGTCAGAAATTTAGTATGAAATCTCTTAGTTACCGTTTAGTGAATAAATAAATTTGGAAATAACTCAATCTTTAATCGGATTCTAGAGCTCTTCTTTATTGGCTTTCAGACAATTCAGTTTTTCTAACGGGATCTTCATTTGGAAGTGCAGGGGCATTATTTCTTGAGGATTGTACGCTGGAAAGCTGTTGTGCAAGTCGTGCCTCTTGATTTTGGGGATATTTTGATTGGATCTGCTTGTGCTTGCAGCTTTTGTCACTGGAAACTTGCTGTTGGAATGCTTTCACGTTTTTTCAGAAGTCATAATCTTGCACCCGAGATGGATTGTTTGGGATAGTGAAATTAGTTAATGCAACCCAAAATGCGCAATTATAACATATGATTGTTCACTCCATCGATATGTGCGATACATTATCCCGCTTCCCCGTAACTGTGGGAGCTATCCAAAGAAATTCTCAACAGATATTCGATCGAAATCTTTTTGTTGTCAAGTATATCTGCTGATGTAAAGCCCGTGTTCCTTGATTGATTCTTTAGGTAAATAACTCGAGCAAATCCTATAATTCCCTGACAGCCGTCGTTTGCCAAGATCGCCCAGTTATGCGGATATTTTGCAGAGAGAGGCCTACCAGCTGGAGAAGCTCTACCCTCTTTTTAGTCAACTACCCATGTTTTTTTCCCCTGGGAATGTGCCGATTCCCACGTTTACTCATCTTACAGACAGGCCTCCGAGTGCGACTCCACGCAGCTGTCATGAGAGCACGCCGTGGCTATCGATTTTTCATCATAGCTGATTGGTTCCTTGCCGCTGACGCCTGCTCGTGGAGCGGACTGAAAAAAT